GGCAGCCCCTTCTTCTTCAGTCTCTTCAACAGCAACGACCATAGACCAGCCAAAACTGGTCATCTCTTTCAACCGGTCGGCAACAGAATGACCTAGCAGCGGGCACAGAATACCACCAACAGCTGCGCAGCGTTCGACAGCAACCCACTCGCCGGTGAACCCTTGGTCTTGTCGCCACCTGAAACAGAGAAGATTGAGGAAGAGAGAGAAACAACCAGAAAAGGCAAAAGTCAGAGAACGGACACGAATAAAGAATTGAAAAAAAAAGATCTAAAAAGTTAACTACAACAAACTGCCTGTGTTGCGTTTTTGGTTGGTTTTGCAGGTCATTGTCGGCAAGGAGGGAAGAAGGGAGGAAGCCGTGACTGACCCTCCTGCTGGCCTGGGTTTCTGGCAGCAGCGCGTGGAGGAGACACGCGCCACGTGTCCTACAGTTCCAAAAGGCTTTCCCTGCAAATTCCAGATTGTTTTAGGGCTATTATTGTAAATTTGAAATTTGTGTAATGTAATTTTTGTTTAGTTGTTTTGAATTTGTATTTTTGAAGTGTGAATGTAAAGAAAAACAAAGAAAGAAGAAAAAGAAAAAGAAGAAAAAATATAGTAAAAGAGATGTGTGTGTGTTTTTATTTATGTTATTAAATTATAAAAATAAAAAAAAGACAAAAAGAATTAAATGTTTAATTTGTATATGATTAAATATTTTAAGGACAAATAAAATCAAGTTATATTTTCTATGAAAATGTAAGAACAAGTTTCTACATGTATTATGGGATTTAATAACTGATTTATTAAAACCTTAGAATTTAATTAATATTTCAAATTTTCAAATCACATCAAACCATAAAGCAGTTTACCTCAGGTAGGGTGTGATAGGGGTGCTAATACATTCCCTAGTCACAACTAGTCCCTTATCCCTTGAATTTCTAGCAACGACTAGTACATCTGGGTTTCCTAGTAACCCTCCATTTAATACGAGGTGGCGACTCCAACAAAAATCATTGAATTACTGCGTGGGGGACGTGCGACACTAATTATATTTTATCACTTATGACATGTTGAAAAATTGACCCACACTTTTATTGGGTCCTAGGAGTCACTGTTCTTAGGACAAACTCTCAGTCAAATTTGGATGTTCGATATTGTCAGATCAAGAAAACCTTTTTGACCACCAGATCATTGCTAGATTCTGTTATCTAAAATGATTTCATCTCACTTTGAATCCTTCATCAAATGCAGTTCATACTGTAATTTACTTAATCAATCATGGACCATCAGTTCCTTTGGAGTTCAGACTGTCTGAGGAAGTATGGAGAGGAAAAGAAGTACAACTCTCTCATTTAAAGGTCTTTGGGTGTGTTTTCTATTTGCATATAGATTCTGATGCTCGCAACAAGCTAGATGTCAAATTCAAGAAATGTTTCTTTATTGGCTATGGAGGTGGAAAAATTTTATAGAGATGAAAAATTTGGATGTTGGTTCTGGTATGATCAGAACAGAAAGATTATCAGAAGCAGGAACGTGATCTTCAACGAGAAAGTTTTGTACAAAGACAGATCAAGTACAGAAACAAATGTGGCTAATTTAGATACAAGTCCACAAAAGTTTGAATTCATCATATTAGAAGGGCTTTCCGATGTTACCGAGTAGAACAAAACTCAAGAGTCTTCACAAGAAGATTTAAGCATATTTGTAACCACTACTACACAAGAAGATGCGAAGCTAAGTGAACTAGCTGTTTATGTTCACAGGTCTTCAAGGACTATAAAGCCTCCACAACGGTTCACACTTAACCAGTAAGTATACCTTTAAGGAATCATTTCAAGCTTAATAGAGATCAGTCACCAAAAACTAAGCTAGAATATGGATACATGAATAAGATTCCATACGCCTCAGCTATCGGCTCTTTGATGTATGTTATGATCTATACTAGACCAAACATTGCCCATGCAGTGGGAGTTATAAGCCAATATATGAACAATCCTGAAAAGTAGCATTGAGGTACTTAAAAGGTTCATTGGAGACATGCCTCACCTTCACAGTTGGTGGTTTGAAACTTGAAGATTTTGTATATTCTAATCTAGCAGGATATGTTGATAGCAGAAAGAATACTACAAGATACATTTATACTCTAGGAGGCATTGCTGTTTCTTAGAGTTCTACCTTGTAAAAGATAGTCTTTTTTTCAACCATAGAAGCTGAATATGTTGCAGTCTTAAAATCTGCAAAAGAGATAGTATGACTACAGAGTTTCAAGAAAGAATTGGGTAAGATATATGTAAAGGGTACTTTGTATAGCAACAGTCAAAGTGCAATTTTCCTTGCCAAGAATCCAACATTTCACTCTTGGACTAAGCATATTTAGATCAAATATCACTTCATCCAACATTTGCTAGATGATAAACAATTACTACTAGAAAGATCTATGAAAGCAAGAATCTAGCTAACATGTTAATCAAAAGATTTACACTTGATAAACTGAAGTTATGTACAACTTCAGTTGGCTTTCAAGGATAAAAGATAATTCTATTGTTTGTCTCCAAGTATGAGATTGCTAATGGAGACAATCAATGTCCTACCATATACAAGTGATACTACCTAATCTCCCACTTTGCACAGGGTGGAGGACATAAATGGTGGTATAAATTATGACATGATTTATGCCCCTTCCCTCATATATATATATATATATATATATATATATATGCGCACTTAGTGAAGAGCTATGCCTGTGAATGTAAAAAACACAGAGAGAATAGAAGTGAAGAGAGAGCTTGAATGTAGAGTTGAGTTAAAAAGAATTTTCTTCTTCTTTTTATTTATATTATTTCTTTGAGTAATTAATATAAATCAGTAGTTTTATGAAATAGACAAGTTATCAAACTACATAAATTTATATATGTTTAAATGTCCCAACACTATTTTCCACCAACCTTTGCATCATTGATGTCAGGGGATGTCCTAAACACCATTGTTGTCTTGAATTCAAGTTTCGGTCTTGTATCATCTCTGTGTCCTTGAACTTTTGGAAGCTAATTTTGATTGTTTTACACCGATTTCTTTTTGACACACAGAAAGATTTCGGTCACATCCTTGACCAGTTTCCAAATAACTTGGAGCATGGAGCTAAAAGAAAAATATCTTAAGCGTTCAGCAGTAACTAAGACAGTACAAATCTTGCAAATACAAACAAATCCAGCTAACCCCAGAGGATAAAAAGTGAGCAAATTGCGTATTCATGAAAAAGGGTATTCAGTAGTGTGACACATACACGTTATATTCGACAGTAGCATCACCTTGCTTGTCAAACCAAACTGTATGTGCCAATGCATAGCCATGAGCAAGCCTAAATAGCCCACTACCTCCAACGATTGGCATCTCCCTCACATCATTTAGAATTTGGTTCCTTCCAAGGATGCTAATACTACTTCCATTATATTTACCTTCTGTAAAAGCAAAATTCATAACCATTAGCAAACAAATATCGTTTTGCGAGGCGAGGGCATAGAGTCCTTGAGCTTTTCCAACAGCCTTTGAAGAAATTTCAAGCCCTTCCGTCAACGGATCATCCGCCATCATTGTGCCACCAAAGGCATAATTATCCGGGCCGGCAATTCTAATAGCTGTTGGATTTTTTCCACTAACAATGTCATGGAAGTAGAAATGTAGGTGTGTGGTCTTTTCTATGCGCTTGATAGCTATGGCTTCAGTTTCTTCCTCATAGAAAGCCCCACAAGTGATTGTGCATAAGTAGGAGAATAGGATGAAGTGAAGGGTGAAGAGAGTGCAGGCCACATGAGAAGCCATTTTGTGATTGTGTGATCAAGTGTGTTCTTTATGGCTAGACTGGACTATGATGTGAACTTGTGAGGGTTACTACTTATAGACTTGCAGTAGACGATCACTAGACGAGTAAATTTGCTTTTTGAAGGGGTTGGCCTGTATTGCTGCATTTCTAAGAGAACTTTTCTCCTATTTTGTCAGCTTTTTATCTTTTTTATTCGCCCATTTACTCTCTCTTGCAAGAATGATTACTTTCCTTCCCACGCCTTCAGCAAGCGACATGGAGAGTTTCATTGCTTCGAAGCATATGAAACTATCACGCTTGTGTTCCACTTCTCTTGTGTGTCAGCTACCAACTTTCTGCATATAGAGGACTTTTTTTCTGTGGTTTGTCTTTGCTTCCAGCAATCCTAAATGCAAAGCTTAATACCTTTGTCCTCACTCCCATATTAACTTAATCTTCTCTCAAGAGGAAGCTTAGTCTCAGATTCCTTGCTTCTCCTGTAATTCTCTTGTCCCTTATCAGTGCAGTTGCAAGCAAGAATTAATGTTGGAATATTTTCAGTCTATTCTTGATCAGAGACCCGACAAAGTGGTCTCCAAAACAATTGCAACTTTATCTAGCAATAAAAACTCCTTGAGTAGGGACAAAGCGATTAATCCAAATCAATGAAATTATTCTAATCAGGAAAAAACAAATGACGGAACACAGGATATAGCAAGGAATATGCAATGAGACTGATGGCAGCAAGCTGGCTGGTTTCAATGGCCATGCTATAAACTGCGAGCAACTAACACCTGTAATTTTTTCATCTAACTGATAATAGCTGTGTAGAGAAGTTCATTCCAAGCGTCTAGAACTCCTGCGACACACCAATGAGTACAATCCATGCCTCTAAAGCCATTGTAAGAGCTAGGATGTCCATCTTTTCTTAGCTGTGAAAGAGTTGTTATATTAAGCAAATGAACAGGTTTCTTGATAGTATTTAACACATCTTCTAATGCTTGCAATGCCAGTGGTGAGCCACCAGGGTAAGTTGATCCACTAACTGGCTCTGTCTCCTTTCCACAGTTTGTCACTCCTGGTTTTCCCCATTCCGCTCCACTGATTCAAAGGCGAAGTTCAAGTCATGAAAATAGTATAAAGCAGTGTTGGTTTTAAGTGGATGAAACTAGTTAATTCTTTCTTCATTTATCAAGAAAAGAAGAGAGCCTTACTTGTAATGGGATGGAGAAATTCCCTGAAAAATAACTTTGGTTTTACATGTATCAACATCAGAATCAACCCATTTTGCCCATGTTGTTAAGCCTTTCCGGAAAGCCACCATGCGATCCATGTCCTCGAGTATGGTCTCACCTTCTTGAACATAATCCCATCTGAAATTTGAAACCGAAAAATCAATAACACCAAATCAACTTGATTCTTTTTCAATTGAAATGTAAATCTACTACTTCTGCCAAGTTTTTCGAGCTCATACGGTTGCTTCGGTCCTCTCCTGTACCACCAAAGCCAGGTATTGAACACTAGAACATCCATGTCCTTCCATGTGTTTCCATCCTTGAGCGAATCAAGTTTTAACACCCGGCCGATTTTTTCTTGTTCGATGTCTACCAAGTAGTGGGAATTGAACAGCTTTACAGACACATCGTAATCCTGAAAATTTCAATTCCAATTAATTTTGTAAACGTAAGACTCTATTTTCCTTATAATAGCAATGGCTGCCACCTCTCCAGGGCTAGTTCACTCACCTGGAATGTCACTGTACTGACAGAGTTGTTTGTCTCCTCTGTCATAATGGAATCAGGCACAGCTGCATGAAGCAAGCATAATAGTGACTCAAAATGGTTTAGACTGAGAGAGTCCCCTATAAACATGATCTTCTTGCCCTTCAACTTCTTCAGGAAATGTTTACCATCAAACCTAATGTGTTTACACATTCCAAAATAGTACAGTATCAGGAACAAAATTAATAACTTGTGAAATTCATCAAAATCCATTGAGTTTTTTTTTTCTTTTTTTTTCCTGAACTAAAAGATAAAAAAAAAAAGAATGAAAAATAACAATGTGCCATCATCTAGTTTAGGAGCTACTTGGAATTGTGTTTCAAAAATATTTTTTAAAAAATTAGATTTTTTATTTAGAAATATCTTTTTTACTTTTTACATCATTTAATGTATTAATATCATAAATAAATTTTAAAATTTTAAAATTACATATTATTTTAATACATTTGGCTTTAAAATATAACATTGCGCATCATTTTTCCTACTGAGGAAACCATCGTTGTTTCTTCCGTAATTGACCACAACATATGTTCCCCCCTCTTCTATTCCTTTTAACATCCTCAACAAGTACCAAAAACCCTAAAGAGAAACTCTACTCGTCCTGGACTACAAATCTCAACACAAACCTCAGTTAAAAGATAAGGAAAACGTATAATTTAGCTAGGTATTTCAAGAAAATAAGCTACTACACATATTTGTTTCTCAATTGTGCTACAATCAATGTGATGTAGGCAGGTTTGAACAGTCTCATAGCTCTTAACATTTAGTTGTGGCTGTGTTAGATTATGCAGAAAGCCTAATTATATACTTGTTTATGGATAAGAGAACAAAGTTAGGTTCAAGAAAAGTCATATCCATACCAAACAAGTAGGTTGATGCAAAAATATAATAATTAATTATCTAATTAAATTTAAATTTTATCAAATAATTTTGTAAACTCAATTCTACAGGAGACTTGTTGGAAATAACTAGTCAAGCTTAAGAAGACACTTGAGTTAGACTTTGGAGATGCTATTTGAGCTTTCTTTTTCTTTTTCTTTTTTTCTTTTTTTGGATTTTCAAGTTATTTTTTTATTTTTATTTATTTATTTATTTAGGACTCTATTTTTTCTACATTGTAAACTTTTTAGAGGAGCAAACGATAATTAAAGAAAATTACTTGATAATAAAATACGAACTAGATGTGAAAAACTCTTTCCGACGACAATGACAATGAACTGGATGTGAAAAACTCTTTCCGACAACAATGTTTATGGTATAGAAGACAGAATCATATTTGAATCCAACAAAAGATGTAAGAATATTTTTCCTTTGGCAAAATTAGTTTTTTGAACTTCATATTTCTTGTTTCTCTTTATTTCTTG